CGCCTTATAGCAAAAACCTCTCAAAAAAAAAAAATTCATACTCTTTCTGTATAAATTTTTTCAGCTTTCAATACTTACATAGACATTTTGGTCCCTGCAGTCTCTCTACAGGGATCTCTGGCCAATTATTCAGTTCTTCTGTAGGGACTAGTTTTACGACCTGTAGCCCAGCTTTAAAATCTCATCACTTATTTACTCTCTCATGAGAATAACAGAATAAAATCTGAAATGAGGAAGACTAGGCAGCCTGATGCAATTTTAGCTTAAAGGAACTGAAACACAATGCTACATGTGCACCATGCTAGAACCAAATTCATTAGCTCCAAGCGTAGTATTTATTTTACCAGGCTCTAGTGCCTTCATACTCTTTTCTCTTTAATCTATATCATCTTTGAATAAAAAATCTGTTAGTAAAAAGTTTGATCTTTCCTTTTTTGCATTAGGGAGCAATGTAGGTGTCTGAAGATAACCTGTGGACTGGATATTCTAAAAGAATTCCCACTCTATTACTTAGAATCAAACGTGGGTAGCTTTTTAGCCAAGCAAGGTGAAAGCAGAGAGAAGATGTTTTTCTTTAAAGCTTTACAAATCTATTGACTTCTTCAGGGTGGGGGCGGAAACATCCTTGATAGGGCCCCCTCACACTGTGACCACAGCCAGCCCCCTGGCCAGTTTAAATCATGGCACACACCCATTGTGTTTAGGTAAACCCGGGGTCTGAACAGCAGTCTTCCACGTCACCCTAGCACTGCAGTGTGGTGCCCACCACGTGTACCATAGTGGCTTGGCTATGAAATGTTTCTCTAAAACCTACAAACTGCTAAAATCTAAGTGCTTTATTACATATTAGTTAAAAGGATTATTATAATGAGAAAACAGCAGATTAATAACATCATATTAGCATGAAAAAGAAGAAATGAAATTGAGTAAAGACCTTAAAGACCACCTAGCTCAAGCCTTTAATTTGTCAAGTATTGTCCCAAGTGTCAATATAACCCTCCCAGAACTAGCTGCAAAAGGGGCTAGAATAAAAGTTTAAGAGCTTCTGTATTAAAAATGATAGTTATGCAGGAACCAGAAGGCCTAATGGTTACATCACTGGACTCCCATGTAGTCGACTGTGGTTCGAGTCCCGAACCTGGTGGCTTAAAACTCATGTTGGGTGTGTATGTATGTGTTCTCAAGATCTCGAGAGGAAAATGAAAGAGAAGGGATTGCAGCGTGGCCATCTCCCCGGGGGGTGATTTCTCACTTTCTGTCTCTCTGTCTCTATTTCTGTCTTTCTGGCAAGTGCACATGCCCTATAGTAAAAATTTCTCTCTAAAAAAATAAGTAAATTTTTTAAAAAAATGATAGTCATGCAACAAGTTAAAAGGCATTGCCTATTGAAGCCTCCTCTGTACCTGTAAAATTCTTTTCCTCCTTATTCTACGTAATTAATGATGCAGAGGAGAAATCTAAAGTTCATGGAAAAACGCTGCACTTCGTAGAGCATCCCGACATGGGAAGGCACTGGGCTTAGTGGCAAATCACATGTGCCACAGTGAACCTGGGGTTATCCCCGGATCACTCTTCACCTGGACACGCAGGCTACAGACACTTAAAGAGAAAGACACTAGTCTGCAAGATAGAGTGCTCGCTACCGAGGACAGTGCCGCCGGGACTCTGCATGCGGAAGGGCCCTCTCTCCAGGTGCCAGAGGTGGCCATGAGCACCTGAACCGTGGTGGCCATCATGGGGGAGCTAAACTGTTGATGATAATCATTTACATAACTCAACGTTCTCCCTATGACTTAAAAATCAAAACTAAATAGCTACATGTGCCTGGTAGCTATGAAATGGGACAGAACAGATCTAGAGAATTCACTGAGGGAAGACTCCCTAGTAGCTACACAAAACAAAGCTGGGCCAATGTTGTATTCTTATTCTCTACTAAAAAATTTGAGAACTTTGCGGCTCCTTCAATCGGGGCGGGGGCGGGGGGTGTCATGAAAACTGAAATCACTTCTGTTTAGTAAAAGCATGCCTGACACATTTCCAGAGCATCCATTAAACTCAGGGTTAACCGGCTGTCATGCACAGCGCAGCTTACAGCTCCATTCACCAAACACTTACACATTGTCTTCTAGGCAGATTTTGGGTCCCACCACATTGGCTGCTCCACTTGCCATTTTAAAAGCAAAATGCTTCTCAGGGCAAGCCTTTGAGATCCCACATTTATATCTGGGTGGCTTTGTAGCTTTGGGAGAGAAAATATTATCATCAGTATTTGTTTTATTTATTTTTTAAAACATGTTAAGAGACTCTTGAATCAGTTTGGTCCTATCTGAAATGACAAAGAGCTTTACGTAAACTATGGAAATATGCATATATTAAATTCCGTGCTAGAATTTTTTTTTCCCCTAAAGGCTTCAAAGAAAATGGGGGAAACAAACAAACAAACAAAACACCACAACGAAAACCAGAACCTCCTAGGAAATGAGCCAATAAATGACATAAACAGATCAGGTAATCTGACCTTGAGGAGGGTAAGTATGTTGTATCTAGTGAGTCTTGAGTTTATTTTTAAATGTGAGGCTATGGGAAAGTTCAAATGGCTACTTTGCCATTTCTTGTCCATATAGGCATAAAAAACACTACCTCGGGATCATTAAAAAGCCAATATCCCACTAGTGATCTGTCCATGAACTAGTTCTACCTAGGAAATCTTTTATTCCTCCATTACTTTATATTTATGATGCTGGAATTAAAACACAAGAATATCCATTATGAATAAACAGCGAGTATATTAGGGTGTCTATTCAAATACCATCCTTACAGCTTTAAAAAGCAATTCCGAAATCAGATTTTTTCCACACTGAGCTGCTGACACAGTCTGGATATAAGCTCTCAGATGTCTAAAATGAGACAGAAAAAACCATTTAAGAAATACTGAGATGAAATACTCACAGCGTGCAGCTGTGTCCAACGCTGATCTTGCTAAGGGGGAAAAAATTAACTTCATTAGAGGAAATAAGTCTATTTTGCTAGCATCCACTTTTTAAACACAGACCTTCTAATAGTCTTATGAAATATAAGTGCTTGAGTTATTACTCAGTATATAATAAAACATAAACATCACTACTGAAAAAACTGAGATCCTACCTTTACACAACCCATTACTAACAATTACGGACAGAAAGTATGAAGGACGATACATTATTACTGACGGAACAGTTTTAGCTTTCCGTGTTGTTTTCCTTTTTGATCACTGTAAATTTAAAACTGAATCAGAAGGTGACTTTAGTTTATGTGACTGTAAATACTGCATCACTGGAAAAGTCAAGACATCTTTTTCCTATGCAAAAATGCACAAAACATGTCGTGACTTTTCCAAGGACCCAATATATACTTAGTGAATGTTTGGGTGTTTAAAAGTTGTTTCTACTCTGTGGTGTACATACACACATAAAGCCTCAGAGAATATACACAAACCTGTCTTACCGGTTAGGTTAGGAGATCTGAGAGAAGAAGGGGATCCCGGGTCGGGGGAGCTTTAATTCCCCCAAATTAGAAATATATTGGACACTTTTTTTTTTTTTTAAATTAAGGTTGTTACTAAGAGTTGGATGATTTACCAGTTGAGGAAAGCCAAAAGCTAAAATCTCAACATGAAGGCAGAAGATCTCAACCTGGCCATCCATCACAATTACATCTACAGCATCTGATCCCAGCCCAGGAGATGAAAACTCTGATCATCAAATACGGTGCAGACAGCCACTTCCTGATCTGGCTAATTAAGTATGCAGTGTGAGAGATGTGAGCCAGCTGTCTAACTATAAATAGCCACTTAGTTTGAAGTTCTGTACTGTTTTAGATAATTGTGAATTTCCTGTAAGTTCACTACTCAAACAGGGAATGGAAAGTTATAGATAGACGATAAGAGCTAAAAGTTTTCTTTTTTAAAAAAATAAAATGACCAAGTAAATGAAGCCTCATTAACTAAATAGAATACTCAGAGTATTATGCACTACTAAAGTCACAAAGGTAATGCAATAACATGGAAAAAGGTTACTGAATGGAATAAAGCAGAAAATAAACTATCTACAGCATAACTGGCCCCAAAATATTAACAAGTAAGAGAAGACATTTGCAACAAACAAACAAAATTAAACTTTGGTAAACTTGGATGCTGGGATTTCTGGGGGAGTCATACTTCGAATTTCCTTAATTATGGCATTTTCCTTGGTCATATCATAAAAAGGGGGGAAAGTAATTAGAGCGATCTGGTTCAATGTGCTCACACTTGTAAATGAGAAAACTGAAGTCCAAAGAGCAATCAGGAGCACAAGGAATAGAATATGATCAACTTCACTCTGTCCTGAACAAACTTGTCTCAGCAGATGCAGATGGTCAGACTCTCACAGAGGAATGTTAAGATCAGAAACTCTAGAGCTGGCCCCAAGGGGCAGTTGCTAAGGAGCTGGATCCCACATTGCCAACCATGGTCTGAACTCTAGTCCGATGGGCTTGAAAGACATGCTGGGCGCATGTACATGTATGCCCCAAATTCCAATTGGACAGAGAAATGAAAAAGAAGGGATTGTAGAGTGACCACACCCCATTGTGGGGTACTTTCTCCCTCTTTGTTTCCCTCTGGTGTGTGCATGTGTCCTCTGATGATTTAAAAAGAAAAAAGAAAAAAAGATCAGGAACTCTGGTGTACCTAATCTTCGGTAGGTTGGTATGAGGAAGACAGTTGGATGAGAACAGGGTTAACATAATATCACTCACATATGCTGGGGCGATCTATCAAGCACGTTTTTAACTATGGGTGATTGATTTGGTCATCATCCCTGTTTTATAGATAAAGAAACTGAGGACAGAAGGGGTTACTGATTTGACTTGTTCTAAGTAACAGTTAGTAATTGGCAAGGCTATTTTTTAAAGCCATATCTCGTTCGAGCACATCTATTACACCACCTCCAAAAACGGGAATGTCTGAAGTCTTGTGATCACACATACAAAAACTACTCCTGCCAGAAGTGGGAAGCCAGGCTAGGAGTGTGTGGAACAACCCTTCTGACTATACAGTAAACAGAAAGCAGAAAGTTCAAGACTAACTAAAGACAGGAGAAGAGACTGGGAGAATGGAGCTAGATCCTACACGGCCAACCATACAGTTCAAGTCCTGGTTCCTATAGCTTGAAAAAATACAGTGCACAGGAGCATGCATGCTCAAGATCCTACAATGAGGAAGCAATGGAGAAGAGGGATTGTGGCATGACCATGCCCCAGGGGGAGCTAACTCTCTTTCCCCCTTCTTTTCTCTCTGTCTCTATGTGTCTTCTGGCAAACTCAAGTACTCTTTGGCAAAGTAAGATTCAAAAAATAAAAAGTAGAAACAGTCAATAGAACACTGCGGAAGTAGGCCATGTGAGAAGAGCAGTAGCACAAACACACACAGCGACTGTGGGTTTGAAGGAAGTACCAGTTCAGAGCAACTGCAGAGACCTTACTAAAGACATCTCTTATGAATGTGGCTTTGGAACATTCACTGAGTCACTTGCATGAGCCAGTGAATAAACATATCATCACTCACAGTGTTCATAATCTAGTGGGAGGGGATGAAGGAGGAACCATGCGTTAGACCTGATCATTTTAAGACACTTGGACAAGATCCCAGTGGAGCGGTATACAGGCTAGTTGAAAATGGAATCTAGGATGAAGAACTGGGAAATTAGCCGATAGACAATGCCATCCAAGGAGCAGAAGAACTTAGAGAGACAGAAGGGCTAAGAAGAATCTTGTAGACATCAATAATAAAATAAGGACAGGAGCAGAGGAATCTTAGGAACTTTGAATGGTCAAGGCAAAGGAAATAGAAGGAAAACCAAGAGAGACCTCTAAAATGGCTTCAGTAGTTTGCTTGTGGATTTTAAGACATTAAAAAAGTAACTGCTATTCAATTAAAAAAATAATAAAACAAAAACAAAACCACTTTACTAGAATATGACTTCAGGAAAACCAGTTTCTTAATCATCAGAGTTTTAAATATATAACATCACCCCCATTTAAATTGCGCAAGAAAAGATGCATTTTTATCCAATACCCATCAGGACCAAAAACCCCAGGACTGCAATTCAGAGAATGTTGGCACTCAGGGGCCAAACATGAATTTTCAGTTGTGTCCACTACAGCGTACAGGTACAATGTACAATCTCCTTCCAACTTTTTTCCTCAACTATTCTTAAACTTTGCTCAAACTACCCTTAAATAATTCAAATTAATTCTTAATTCTATTCAAAATATAATGGATCATCAAAAAAGTCATGACATATTTTTTCTATGTTTTTCTATGCAAAAATGTGTCATGACTTTTCCAACCCAATACAAAGCTTCACTTAAAGAAACAATAAGACAAAAAAGAAAAATAAATAATAATGCACATTTGTGATGACTTTATCAATGAATGTCTTTCAATAAGTGCAGCTAAAAAATTAGAACTACTTTGTACTTTAGTTTTCATTAATGTCTCAAGAAATTTATGTGTATACTATTTATCAACAGTTGAAATCTGAAAGGGTAAAAGTGTATCACTAAAACAGTATTTGCTGCAACAATGTATGCAAAAAATTACCTATACTGTTTCCAGTATACTTACTAAGTATCCATGCTGAAAACTAATACCACATTAAATCACAATCATGAGTAAGATTATTGGATTGTATTTATGTTGGTATTCTGATTGTGACATTGTGTTACAGTTTCCTAAATGCTATCATAGAAGAAACTGAGTAAAAGGTATGCAGGATTATTTCTTACCAAGGCATATGAATCTATATTTCAAAATAAGTTTCATTTATGAATTGATTTTTAAAAAACTCATAATTAACCTACTTTGATCATTTTAAGTGTGTGCAAAATTTTCACTCTTCCTTTTTAGAAATACATTTGTTTTATTTTTCTAAAATAATACTTTAAAATAAACCTGAATGTAAATAATGTATGGGAACTATCAAGTAAGTTATTAACAAGTTGAAAAAATGGAAAACTAACCACCAATACAACTGCACTTAATTGTATGGCTCCCTAAGAAACTGATAATAGAAATAATTCTAATACTGAGTTAAACTTATTACCCTCTGGTAGATTAAGTTAGATACTAAACAAATGGCAAGGTATGACATAAAAATCAACCACCTTCCCTAAGAATGCCTAAATCAAAATGCTGAAATACACACAATAAAACTTGACAGGTTCTTAACTTTGCAATAATCACTTTATCCTGGATCTTGAGTACTTCCTTGTAAGACAAGGACTGAAAAACAGGTTCAGGAAGAAAATAAACACTGTATCTAGGGGAAGGGCCAAAGGGAGGACTTAACTACATGAAAACTCCTTAAAGAAGGTATAATGACTACAAGTTAAATATCCAAGAGATCACAGTTGTAGGCCAGGGTTCCAGATCAGTGGACTGAAATTACATGGTAGTACAAAGGCAGAATGCAGCAGAATACAAGGAAGTACTTCTAAGAAGTCATTGGGAGAAAAGTCTCCTGAAAGACCACATGTCAGAACTGCCTACAGGTCCGTATGTGGGGTATGTAGTCCTTGGGTGGGAATCTCAGCATCACCTGCAAGCTGGTTAGAGGCGCAGAATCTTGGCCATGCCCCCACCCCAGACATTGATCAGTATCTTCATTTATCAGATTCTCTAGAGAGTCTTTCGGCACTAAAACCTTGAGAAAGCAGTAGTATCAGTGCTTGAGATCAGATGCAAGAGGAAGTGAATTAAATGTTAGGAATCCCTACCAAATACTCACTTACAGAAAGCAAAACTCACTATTCCACTCATTTCAAAATCATTTCATTTGGCTTCTGCCTGCTAGGTCAAGATATTGCTTCTACTTTTCATATTCTTACCTTTTATGTTTGACTTTTTAATAACATAAGCCACATTTTTGCCAAAGCTTATTCAGGGTCAGCATAAAAACCCATGCACAATATCAATAAGCTTCTCTTACTTCAAATAATGAAGGCCTACCCAAATGATATACAGAGAAGATTCTGAAGTAATTTTATGTAGAACCTTAGCTAAATATACATAAACTATTTCCCCTTTAGTATATAAACATTAAATTCCATTTTTACTCTCAAAATGATATACAGTAAGTACTTAGAGAAATACATACTTGGTACTTAATAATTTGACATTCAATAAGATATTCTTTATAATCACCTAAGATACCATTAATATAAAATTGGCTCCTATGGAAACATTTTAGATATTAACTTATTTTTATTAATTTAAAGGTTTGTTAAACACTGAGTTAAGAGGGACCAGCAGTTAGGGTAATGGCTATGTCGCTGGACATCCACGTAGTCAACCGCAGTTCGAGTCCCGGACCCAGTGGCTTACACTCACGCCGGGCGCGTGTGCATGCGTGCCCAAGATCCCGAGAGGAGAATGGAGGAGAAGGGATTGCGGCGTGGCCATCCCCTCTGGGGGGTGATTTCTTGCTTTCTATTTCTCTGTCTCTCTCTGTCTGTCTGGCAAGCACACATGCCCTATAGCAAAAACCTCTCCAAAAAAAAAAAAAAAAAACAACTGAGTTAAGGTACCTTACAATGGTACATTTATAATATAGCAAATTTAAGTGAAGAGGTGAAGAAAACAATGTCAGGTCTACCCCATGGCCTAGTGGTTAAGGGAGCTGGACTCCACAGAGCTGTATGGTTCTTAATCCTGGTGATTTGAAAAACACACCGTGTGTGTGTGTGTGTGTGTGTGTGTGTGTGTGTGTGCATGTGCCCAAAATTCTCCATAGGTTTTTGCCATAGGGCGGGCACCACCACGCCCTGCCCAAAATTCTGGCAGGGTGGAGAAATGGGGAAAAGAAATTGTGTTATGACTATACTTCACTTAGGGGGTGCTATCCTCTTCTCCCTCTGGCAAGGCATATGCCCTCTGGCAAATTAAAAAAAAAGAAAAAGAAAAGAATAAAAAATAATAATGCCGGGAACCAGCAGTTAGCGTAATGGCTATGTCGCTGGACTCCCACGTAGTCGACCGTGGTTCGCGTCCTGGACCCAGTGGCTTAAAACTCACGCCAGGCGTGTGTGCGTGCGTGCCCAAGATCCCGAGAGGAGAATGGAGGAGAAGGGATTGCGGCGTGACCATCCCCCCTGGGGGGTGATTTCTCGCTTTCTGTCTCTATGTCTCTCTCTGTCTGTCTGGCGAGCGCACGCGCCCTACAGTGAAAATCTCTCAAAAATAAATAAAAAAATAATGCCAGAGAGGGAAAATAAAGGTGGGAAAGAAGAAGGATTTTGATGGTTGGTATCTGGATACACTATTGTGACTCCTAGTCACTCGATAATTGAGTACTAAGCTTTGGTCTCAAATTTCCTAGTAACCAAATAGAGAAATAATAATAATTTTGGGACATTTTAAGTCTTCTAGAATATGCACTTAGAATGCCACAATTAACATCCCAAGCGTGTATAAAATACTCGATATATTCAAAATGTTGAGAAGATTCATGCTTTACACTAATTCTAAGAACTCTTATATGTTCTGGAATATTCTAATGAATCACACTTACTAACATAATTATATTTCCTTTTCTAGACAGACTAAATAGCAGTGACTCAATGTTGAGAACTGATAAAAAATGAGAGATTTTTAGACAAGTACAGCACAAATAAGGTGTTAAAAAAGGAAAGGAAAAAAACTTACCAAATAGATTTCCTAAACTTGCATCCATTTTTATTTCAAATACTTGAGAAATAACATAAAATGTCAGTAGAAATACTGCCACAGCTACCACCAACTTTGCAGCACCTAGATAAAAGACAGAAATAATTTAGCATGTGTTTACAAGCTCACGGAACTTTCGTTACGCATTTTATAAAAAGAGTAAATTTATTTTAAAAATTAAGACTAATACCTTTGTGGTATTTTACCTACTGAATCTTGATTTTGCTAGCACTACAACAAAAATTATATCAACATTCCATTGGGTTAAGGGATTTTCCTGATCAAAGAATACTCAGATCAAGTCTAGCAATCTAGACACGAGACTGCTTCAGCCAGCTGCCGACTGGTGACGCAAACCTGTCATGGCAAGTGGAACACCACCGCCAGGTTTGTTGGATAACGCATTTCTAATCCTTTTCAAATGTACAGGGCAATACTACACAGCAAAGTTAAAAACACACTGGACTTTCTGGAGACACTAGGGTCAGATGACCATTGAGCAAGGACAATGTAACAGGTTTACTGTCCATCGCCAACTAACACAACTGTCACTACATAAGCCCTCATGGAATAGTCAACAACAAGGTCTTCCCGCTCACACCTAATGTCTAGTTTGAGGCTGGCCTTATCCACTCCGGGAGGCCATTGCCTGGGACCTATCACATACGCTTCCTGACATGGTTACATGGTAAGCTCCCTGAGGGCAGACTGTAATACTTCCGTATCTCTAATCGTGCTTGAGTGCCTTACAGACAGCACTGCCACTGCTGGTAAATATGACTCATCCCTTATTCCTTTTCCCCCCATACCTAAACAAACGTAAGAAAACAAACAAACAAACAAACCTGCAAGAATGAAAGGAAGTGGAAAATGACAGGAAAGAAACATCTTCCTCTTAAGACCTTAGGGACATCTCATTAGCTTACTGAGGAACAGCACTGGTATTTATCTGTATAACCTCCATCCCTCTCTCTTACCAATAATTTAGCAGGAATTAATATCAAGGAAGTAGACAGCATCAGCAGTCATCTTATTATCTTTCAGTAGAAAAAGCCAAGAGGTGAAGTAACCACCCGAGACTACAGAGAACTTTACGGCAGCCCAAGGACCAGAACCCGGGCATCCTAACGAAGAGTCTAGAGGTTTATGTAGTACTCCAATGCAAAACCAAATGACCACATTCTTTTGGAAAACTACCAAGACCAACTTACAGGGTAAGGAAGAGTTAAAAACTAAATATATTCATCCTAATTTCATAAAGCCAGAGAAATCGGACTGTATCCTTGGGGGGCAGGGAGGAGGAAATGAACTAATGATGCTTGGGAAGGCTGCCGATGCCGAGAAGCAACAGCTTACCAGAGCCTACTCACTTCTATTTAGAAACACTCTATTAATGGCTGTGTAGGGGGAGGAGGGGCGTATGGAAAATCTCTCTATCTATCTCTCGGTTTTGCTGTAAACCTAAAACTGTTCTAAAAAAAAGAAAAAAAAAAGTCTTAAAAAACAACCACAAACGCTAATATAGAAATGATGTGGCAATGACGAAATCTAACTGTTAAACTAATCAATCTCTGCCTCCCTACTTCATTCCCTACCATCTATCCTCCAAAAGCTACTTCAAGTTTTCAAGGGCAACTCTTCAATACAAGTTGCCCACACTTTTAGTGCGTAAGTCAGCAAAATTTGAGTAGCCTTTGAACTTTCCCCAGCCAGGGTGCAGAGACTGCCTCGTGCACAGTAACACTCTCAACAACTGTGTGCTAAACAGACGGATATGAACAGGTGGCGAATTTCTTCTTGATCATTTAGGACTAAAGCCAAGGGCTTGAAGATTATGTTTCACCATAATCTTACCATCTTATTTTCTAGCAGCCCTGGGCATGTGCACCTAGAACTAACATTTCCTAGTCCCCATAACGTGGATGTGTGAAACCTTCCTTGTTCCAGATGGAAATATGTAAACATTAAAATATCAAGTTTGTAACATGAACGTTCTACACTATATCTGATTCCAAGTCAACCTCAGACTGCACTAAGAGCAACATACATATATACATATAGTTGGTTGGTTTATTTATTTCTAGAGAAATTTTTGCTACAGAGCACATGTGCTCACCAGACAGACAGAAAGCAAAAAATTAGTCCCCAGGGGGACAGCCATGCTGCAATCCCTTCTCCTCCATTCTCTCCTCAGGATTTCGGGTGCACACGCCCATGCACTCGCAGTAATTTTTAAGCTGCCAGGTCCAGGACTCAAACCACAGTCGACTACATGGGAGTCCAGCGATGTAACCATTATGCCATCTGCGGATGCCCAAATACTATACTTACAATGCACACATACACTCTTTACTGAGTACCAACGACAGAGCTAAATGTTTTATAAGTGTAACTTCATTTGAACAACATTTCAAGATAGTTTCACTTTACAAATACAGGAAACAAAGCCAATGTTAGATCACTTGCCCAAGACCACGCAACTAGTTAGCGGCAGCACTCAGTCTGAACCCAAGACCTAACCACTGCCTCATACTGGACCATCGTGGGAACTAGGAGGAAACAAATACTCTAAGAGAGAGAAAATGCAGAGGTAGGAAAATGTGCAGTCTCCAGAGTGTTAGTTTCAAAACTTGTGTTACAGAGGTTCTTCTCCAGGGTTGGCCTGAGTCCAGAATCAGATTCCAATTCTGGACTTGAAAGGGTCTAACTGCATCACTTATGATTCCATGACTCCTGTTTTTATGATGAGATTCCCTCCTTCTTCTAGCCATGGACTGCGTCAATCAAGTGGTCCCTAGCTTGCACATATTGAAAAGCAAAAATTTCAGACATAGAGGTCCTGACATCTAAATTTTAAGCTACAAGGATGTTTCTTTTAACTTAATTCTATTTGATATTATTATTTTTAAAATTTGACTAGAGAGAAAGAAAGGGAAAGTGAGAAGCAAGCCGCTAGGTCCGGGACTTGAACTGTGGTCAGCCATGTGGGAATCCAGTGCCTTTAGCTACCATGCAACCTGCTGGCCCCAACAACAAGGATATTTCAAAACAATCAGATATTTTTCAGTTTAGGAACAATTTAGTTAAAAGCAATAAACTGTTCATTTTCCTTTTTCATTCAATAAAGTCAATTCTCTCAAGATCTTTATGAAGAACAGTGTCAAACATAAAATAATGAGCAAGTTATTTCTCACCAACTAACCTGTCAATTAGTTGTCAGAATCAGAGAAATGGACTAACTGACAAAGTTAATTACAACCAGGATGAATTGAGAATTATGTGAGAAAAAGAAACTTGGCTTCAAATCATCACACTTAAATACTTTTAAAAAATCACCTGAAGACATCATCACAAATAGTGGGTCCTAGGACACAACGATACACACACACACACACACGCACACACACACACGTGCGCGCGCACACAAAATACCTAAAAAAAAATTTTTTTTCCCCACAAAACTTCAAGCAAGCTCTTTGCTTCTAGGAATATTTTCCTTCAACAATTGGGCAGTTAAGCCAGCTTCATAGCAGAGCAGATAAGCATTGTACATTGGGACAATACATATGGCTGACCACGGTTCAAACCTCGGACCCGGTAGCTTAAAAAACATATTGAACACATGTGTGTGAGTCCCCCAAATCCTGCTCAGATGGAGAAATGAAGGGAGAAGACTGCAGCATAGCCAAGTCCCGCTGGTGGGAGTGGGGGATGCTCTCTCTCCTCCCTTTCTCGCAAGTGCACACATCCTCGGGCAATGAAATTGTACAACCTAAAACAGGATACTCTAATTTCACAATAGAGAATCAGTTTTTCAAACTTCTACGAAGCATTTGTAACAATTCTCAAGTTATCTTTGTTTAATCATCACAATATCGGGGCCGGCCGGTGGTGTGGTGGTTAAGGGTGCTGGACTCCACATGGCTGACTGCAGTTTGAGTCCCAGACCTGATGGCTTACTTCTCACTCACTCTCTCTCTCTCTCTCTCTCACTCTCACTCTTACTCTGTCCCTCTCTGGTCAAATTAAAACAAATAAATAGATAAAATAATGTTAAATTATCTAATTCTTTAAAAAAAAATCACAATATCATATCAACCACACCTGATTCTGTACAACTTTGATGGAAGTATGAAGATCTATTTACCAATCTTGACTTCAGGCAATTCCAAGAGATGCTCCCATAGAAAGTATTTGATTTCCAGTGAGGAGATAATTAAGAGAAAGATTATCTGTATTTTGAGAAATTACAGGTTATTTCCTATGCTGGGCACACCATTGTGGCAGAATTTTCTACGCTAAGTGTGCACTGTATTTCTTATGGAACTCTGCCTGGAGGGGCAGGGGAAACAAACCTATTTTCCTTACATAGGTAGAATAAGGCTTTCAGGACCTCAGTTATTTATAGAACTTTTTATAATATCTATAGATTCTACCTAAGTAATATGCATATCTAATTGTGTTTTTTGATTTCTTCAATATGCTGCTTAGCTAACAGATTAATCTTACACATAAACTCATACATGCAGATTAAACTTGAACTAACAAATACTAAGCAAAAATACATATATTAACAAATACTAAGCATAAACATATTTTACTGAATCCTTCACATAGTTTTTTTTTAATTATTTCATTTAACTTTATTTATTTATTTATTTTAATTTGATCAGAGAGGGACAGAGTGAGAGAGAGAGAGAGAGAGAAAGTGAGAAAGGAGGCCACCAGGTCCAGGACTTGAACCACAGTCAGTCATTTGGGAGTCCAGCGCCCTTAACCATGCCCCCAATCAGCCCCCACATACGGTAGTTTTAAGTACACACATAGGAGAAATTTAAACATTACAACTCATGTGTCTCAACAGGCTAGAACTTAGCAAAAAAAAAAAAAATCAATCTTCTTAGTTGTTTAAATCTTTCTTTATATGGGTGTTTAATATATATATCTATAATCTGATTATAGATAACATAGGGGCCAGCAGATGACACAGTGGTTAAGGCACTGGACTCCCACATGGCCAATGGTGGTTTGAGTCCTAGACCTGATGATTTGAAAATCACAATGGGTGTGCACGTCTGTGTGTGTGTGTGTGTGTCCAAGAACCCAGGAGGAGAAAAAAGAAGAAGGGAATGTGGCACAGACATCCCTCCTGGGGAGTGATTTCCCACTTTCTCTCTCATTATTTGTCTATCTCTCTGGTGAGCACACATGCCAGAAACCTCTAAATAAGTAAATATGCTTAAAAAAAAATATATATATATATAAAATACATATATGTATGTGTGTGTGTATAATTAAAATACCAATATAAAGTATATATTATATATAGCTAAATAATTTGGCAAAAAAAGAAAAACATTTAGGAACATAAATATTAAAACTTTAATATATTTAGCATCAGCAAAAGGTTTGTCCAGAAAAATGTTCAGTAAATGTCCATTTGTGATGTAGTTGGTTTTACTTCAGCTTTATACCCAATACAGAAGAAGATTATTTACCATCTCCTTTAGTCATTATTAAACAAACAGAATACACAAAGCAAAATTATTTCTACTGAATTCAATTTCTTACCTGCTACCCTCATGTTTGGTTTTTCAGTCTATGGCACTTTTCATGAAATAAGCTCCTAAAATCAAAAGAAAGGGCAGACATGATTAGATCTGGAATGAACGTTCCTCCTTAGACTGGATTTCATTGGGACTGTTTATATTAAGCAAATTAAATACGAGTCATAACACTTGTATATATTCTCCAATACTGACAGCTAAAAAAGAAATTCTTATCACTGCTTGTGTCCTTCCACTGGGCCACACAACCTAAGGGGAAGGTCAGGGTCTCGCACTACTGTGTCCTCAGCTCTCTAATGGAATGAGCAAATGGGTAAAAACCTACCAGCGAGCTTGTGGATAGAAAATGATGCCTTATTATCGACAATGATTATGCATCTACAAGAAACTTTTGATATTTAGTTTTAAATCTTCAGTTTGCAAATGAGGTCCAAAGAGGTTAAGCCGCTTACACAGTCCTGGGACAAATTACTTATGGAAATGGGGCTAGAATTTAGGTCAGCTGCCTTACTCCCATCTATGATGCCACCACATTTTTGAAATGACATAACTCAGGTGTCAATATGACAGGTGTTTATAGCAAAGGCTTTCTATTTTAGTATCAGGGTTCTCTTTTCATGCTTTTCGATTTAACTTTGTAAAACAATATGCCTGGAAGTACTGAATTGTACTTTTAAATATTCTAGCAATTATTTCTATTGGCGAAGTAATGTTACTTACATTGGATGAAGAAACTCTTCTTGAAAATTAGTATAAAATCAACCAAAAACACATGCTTGGGGGGGTGGTATCTGTATGTGCGTGTTTGTTTCCCTACGAAATAACTAAGGATAGATGAAACTTTAAAAAGAAGATAAAAAAGTAACTGAGTTTGATAGAAAGTCAAGTTTCCACAGTCAACTCAATCTACTGTGCAGAGACAATGCATAAGAAAGTCTTGATTGATGAATGACATGAATCATAAATACATACTACTCTATTTTAAAGTATATTCTGATGCCAAAGTCTGATCTAGTAATCACTGAAATGATTCAAGTACAAATAATCGCACGTAGGGTCAGCAGACGGCATAATGGTTACATCACTGGACAGCCATGTGGTTGACTGTGGTCCCGGACCTGGCAACTTAAAACTCACACTGGGGGGAACCAGCAGTTAGCGTAATGGCTATGTCGCTGGGCTCCCACGTAGTCGACCGCGGTTCGTGTCCCGGACCCGGTGGCTTAAAACTCACGCCGGGCACGTGTGCGTGCGTGCCCAAGATCCCGAGAGGAGAATGGAGGAGAAGGGATGCGGCGTGACCATCCCCCCTGGGGGGTGATTTCTCGCTTTCTGTCTCTATGTCTCTCTCTGTCTGTCTGGAGAGCACACGCACCCTACAGTGAAAATCTCTAAAAAAAAAAAAAAAAAAAAACTCACACTGGGCACGTGTATGTGTGGCACCCAAAATCCCAAGAGGAGAATGGAAGAGAAGGGACTGGGGCATGACCATCCTCCCCTGGGGGGAGAGTGCAGGGAAGATGATTTTTCGCTTTCTGTCTCTCTGGCAAGCACATGCGCCCTAAAGCAAAAATCTCTCTAAGAAATAAAATAAAATAATGGCATGCTCCTAAAGGACTCTGCAAAGAAGTAAGACATTAGTTTTCTTACTCACTAGAATCAGCAGAGGTGCTGGGGTGGAGGGGGTTGGACAGCACCCAAAGGTCCGTGGCCAGTTTCCCTTCCTCCCGCAACATCCCCTGAAGAACACGTCAGTATCTAAACTGAGCTGTGTGTAATTGATTTCTTCTTTTAGTTATCTGAACACCTTCTACATAACAGGAAAAGTCAATATTATATATCTATTTAAACTCCCTAGCCACAGGCTAGGAAAATACTAGAAGGAACCAAGATACTGAAGTATCAATAAACCATCACATGAAAGTAAGAAAAAAAAATCCTTGGCTTTTCAAGTGAAAATCCAAACTGGTTATAAATCCTCTTTTGGCTTCCAGCAAAATTGAACTCTGCTTTTACAACACACATATATGCCTTTCCTCCCAGCTAACGTTCCAAAATAATTTCACTCTTATCTGAGTGTGGCCTAGGGACATTTCTTTGAAAACGTGATAAGCAGTTGGGCACCAGACACTTGCCATTCTACCTCACTGTTTCCATTATTCTCGGAGGCCACGCCTGTATAATTAAACTCAAGGCCTCTGTGTTTGCCACCTGTGCACCTCCCAACCAACCTGTTTCTAAACTTATCACTAAAAAGCCCACAATGTAAGCAACTTCCGTTGTCAAGCTGAATACCACTGCTTTTCCAATAGACGTCTTCAGAAAATTGACATTTAGTAACAATCTAAATTACAAACTCATGAAATTGAACCTTAGGCATCATACATCTTTAATTAGCTCAAGAGTATAAATCAGCATGAAGGAGTACTGAACATATTTGAGATCAAATCAAGGTGTGTCTGTTTATGATGTGCTATAGACTCCTCTCATTAAGAGGCCATCTGAAGACAGACAAAAGCTTTACTTACAGTTATTTGGGGGGAGGGGAAGGCAGCATCTTAACAGATAACTCAGGCTGAGCCACCAATAGGTCCAGAGGAAATAAACATGATAGTAAGTAGATAAAAAGACCTCTGCTAGAAATTCAAATCTCTTTTTACAGACAATCAGTAAGAGGATTTATATTTTTTCTCATATATTTATTAAAAGGCAGAAGTATAAAACTTACAGCCATTTGGGACCAGCAGTTAGCGTAATGGCTATGTCTCTGGACTTCCACGTAGTCGACCACAGTTTGAGGCCCGGACCTGGCGGCTTAAACTCATGCCGGGCACGTGTGCGTGCGTGCCCAAAATCCCGAGAAGGAGAATGGAGGAGAAGGGATTGCAGAGTGGCCATACCCCCTGGGGGTGATTTCTCACTTTCTGTCTCTCTGTCTCTCTCTCTGTCTTTCTGGCAAGCAAATGTGCCCTATAGCCAAAACCTCTCCAAAAAAAAAAAAAATTAAACTTATAGCTATTTACCAAAACCAGAATATTAGCAGTAAAAAAGTAATTTTGGACAAATCTTAAAAATTAAAAACCTTAGTACATTTATAAAGTAAACTGCTCCATAAAGTATGATACAGGCCACAACAACAAGTTTTAGGGTCAAAGATAAATATGTAAATGGTTGTCCCAAATCAGGTTGCTAGTATTTAAGGTGCATAATCACCTGAGAGTCGATGGCAAGGAGGGCCACCAGGACACCCTTGGACAAGAAAAAGCGAACTGGATAAACACTAAGGAGGTGATGCAGGCTGAGGAAGGACGCCTAAGTGAGGGCCTCATGGACGTACCGGGTTTGAGTGCTTCACAGTTTAACATTCCCTTTAGCCCAACCAGCTACTGTGGCCTCACTTGGTGAAGTTTTCTTACCCGAGTAGAAATCAGGGTACCATGTAAATAAGGAGGCACCATCCTAGAGTAAACTAATTTCAGGAACAATCAGATGAAAAACAGTCAAATTAAATCAGGTGAATTATAAGAACCCAATTATAAAAAATTACATATATAACTGATAGTTGTTTTCAGGATATATATATATGACATGACAAATCCTGAAAATCTGTTTACCAGGACCAGGATGTTCTGATGTTCATGAAAACTATGTGATAATGCATACACACAGTGGCGCAATTTCAAGCATATTCTTATATCATTTTCCCACCATCCCTCTCATGGCTGTAGTAGATATTATGATATGATGGTATTATAGACAAGGTCAAGGGATTTGTCCAAGGTTACATGAAGGATCAGTAACAAGCTAACACAACAAACAAATCCACTTTCCTTTTCACCATCGTTGCCCACTGCCACACTCTAATGTAAGAGGCTTGTTGATAAAATGCCATGCCAATCAATTTGGGTTTTACAAATTGCTCTGGGAATTGCAAACCTCGGCTGCAAACTAGCCCCTGCAGAGATTTGGCAGTTTGTCAAAATGACTAAGCTTGGGTGTTAGAACCATACACCCCTTCAAATAGACAGGATACAAGGAAATGAAGCATACACATAAACCTACTGATATATTTCATAGTAGCAAACAACAATCAGTTAAGTCAGAAGAAAATACTAAGTTATACTCCACAAATATAGAAGAACTATCACTCAGTTCAATCTAACTTTTAATTCAGTGCTGACCAAAGAATGATTTTAAGTGAACCAAGTTCAGATCATTCTACTGTAATATTCCTAGGAACTGGAACTTTTCAAGAGAACTAAGAAAAATAAAGGTCAGAGTGCAAACAGATATAATGCATACTTAAGCCCTGTGATAGTTAATTCTGTGTGTCACTTTGACCAGGCCATGGGATGCTCATACATTAAGTATCATTGTGGGTGTGTCTATAAACGTGTTTCTCTATGTAGGTGGGCCTTATTTAATCCTCAGAGGTGAGAATAGAGTTAGAGAGAATGAGTAAGGCAAAATTCACTCTTCCTGTCTGACTTCAAGCTGGGCGGATGCCTTCAGACACCAAATGAAACCAGTACCTTCAGCTCTCCTGGGCCATGAGCTTGCCGACTATAGATCCTGGACTTGATGTCTATAGCCAATCTGTTCTAATAAATTCTAGCTATCTCTCCTACTCCTACCCCTTTGGCTCTGTTTCTCTTTAAAAATATTTTAAAAAAAATTAATATAGACCCCCCTCAAAATCAGAATGTAAAAAATTGAATTTTCATCCCCTGAGCATTTAATGTACAAAAGGAAAAAGAGATCATACCGAAATCAAAAGGATGTTACAACTAGAATAGCTACTAAGGTAAGTTGCTCTGATGTTTTATTTTCAAAGTGTGGCATTTAAATAGATATATATAGAGAGATATATATAGATATATATAGATATTTGCAACAAATAAATTTATGTGACTAAAATAGAGCAAGTGTTGACAAACTTGGGCTGTAAAAGGACCCTGTGGTAAATATGTTTAGGCTTTGTGGACCATATGTCCCTATGGTAACTATTCCACCCTGTAGTCATAGCTGAAAATAAATCAGAAAAATATGTAAACAAATG